TGTATCTCTGGGTGGTTTGGGATGTGCAGAAGTGAAACCAAGGCATCTGGTCCCGCTCGGCTGGAGCCAGGTTTGCTCGTGCTGGGTTTTTGTTGTTGGATGGATTGAAGAATTAACCCCAACTGAGAGGTAAACCTGCCTCCTCCCCACTGCCTGCCGTGTGTGCCCAGCCCCATCCAGCTGTGCTTTTGCATGCTGTGGCACGCTGTGGGCTTGTTTGATTTTTCATTTCGGTGCTGGAGCCAACCACACTTCAAAACTAGAATTAGAATGAAAGGCGGGGTTAAAATTGTGGACTGGTTGAATTAGCACCTTTTTTAAAAAATGAACGCATTGCTATGCAGAAGCAACGTGTGTTTAGGTACCAGTTAGTAATGGGCCAAGTGAAGTGACTCCTCGGCACGAGAGCTGCTGGCTCTGCCTACACCCGTGCACGGAGGTGCGTGTGGCTCATACTTCTGCATAAACATCTGCAAATAAAGAAAAAAGCCAGCGCTATTGACAAAGCAAAGGCCAGCTCTATTTATATCTGCAGGAAGGCTGCGATAATGAAAAGATGCTTTAATGTGTCCCAGGGCTTAGATGAAACACTGAAAATGTTGCTTTTAAGAAAAAAAATGATAATAATATCCCCTTGAAATCCCGAGGAAATGTGTGTGACGGACTTCTTGAGAGCAATATCAAAGAAATGAAATAGGAGTTGCAGAGCACAGGGAGTTACTGCAGTTATGGGCTTTGAATTGGTTTAAATCTTTGCTTTTAAGCTTTTTTTTCTAGATATCTCTTTAAAAGTAACACTTTAATGCGGGGGAAAATGTTTTACTGCTACTGAACCTTAGCAGCAGTGCAGATCTGTCAGACCTTACCATATTTTGGAGTGCAAATCCTTTCTCTTGGGTTGTTCCTGCTGTCCAGCCCCTCTCATGGGTGTCAGGCTCGTGGGGGGGGAGCATGCAGGCGCTGGCAAGGGCGGCGAGGGGCAGCGTGAACATCTGTAGAGGAGGACAGATGGGTGAAAATGTTCTTTCAGCACAGGATTTGCAGCTTTATAGTTAGAAAGGAAAGAAATTTTCTTTTTTAAAGTCCTTTAGGCAATTCTGGGGTGGGGTTTTTTTTGAGGCAACTGGAAAATTGGGAAAAGGAAAATATTTACTCAAAATACTGCCTTTCAGTTCATCTCGTTGGGTCTTTGACCAGCTTTATTCAAACTGCTGTTTCGTGTCCTTGACCAGGTGTAAAATACGGCTCCCAGGGCAGAAAACACCCTCGAGCACTTCTGAGCGTGTGTGCAGGTTTCCCAGCTCCTCCGGTGGCACTGTCCCTTCCTCTGAGAAGCCTCACCATAACTCATTATTTTGGCTTTATTATGAATTTAGGGGATTGGTTGCAAAGAGCAGCGCTAACCGAGCAGGATGCAGTGGCCAGGGCCCATCACCTCCCTGGTCCCTGCTCCCAGGACATCCGTGGGTCCTCGCCAGGCTGCCCCAGCCAAGCTCTGGCTGCTCCAAAACCGACACATGCCCGATGCATTTTCTTTTAACCTTTCCCTGTCAGTACTTGCTGTGTTCATGTCTAACTTGCATTTTTATCTGCTTCTACTAGACCAGACTGCTATACTCATTGAGTTAATTTGATAATAACAAGATGTTATGAAAATCCCACTTGGCAGAAGAAGAGGTGGGCATCACATAGAGATGTACTGATTTTTATTAACCACGTATTCCAAAAGAATTAAATGAAGGGAGCAAACTAAAGCTTGGGCTATTTGTTAAAGTTGAAAAGAGATCCAGTTTTGAGTCATGGAATTTGGTTTTTTGAAGCATGAATGATGATATATCATCACCCTTTGCCCTTGGAGCCGGCAACGTGCTTTGTTTGGCCCATTTGCAGCCCTGAGCGTGCTGTTGGCACTCATGAGATAACTGTTATTAGTAACAATGCACAGATGTATTGGTAATTTAGGTAGTCAGGCCAGCTGGAAGGTCTATGAAAGAACTTATCAAAGACAGATATTCCGGTGCGAGTTAGAAGATGAAAAGGAAAAGAAATTCTGTTTTTTCTGTGTAATTAAAGGCACACTCTGCAGGGGAAAACAAGCAAAAGCATATGTAGTGCATGCACAATTTTTGAAGGCTAAACCACTTTAGGTTGCTGAGAGATATATAAAAAAAAAAGGAGTAAAGTTTTATTTTTACCTTAATTTTGTCCCTTAGATGCCCATTTGCAAATATAAATGGGCAGGTGCGTTTGTATTATTTATGTTAAAAGAAGATGAAGGTTGTAAGGACAAGCACCTGGGAACTAGGACACGCCGGCACTGCCGGTGCTCACGTGGTCTCGGTGTTGGCCGGCCAGGCTGTTTCTGTTGCCTTCTGCGTGAGGGAGCCACACAAGAAGAGCAGGCAGGTCTGGGTCTGGTATGCTCTGCCTGTGCTGCCTCTGTGCTGGTTTCAGCTGGGACACAGTTAACTTTCTTCCCAGCAGCTGGTGAGAGGCTGTGTTTGGGTTTGTGCTGAGCAGAAGCTGATCACACACTGATGGGCAGAGCTGCTGCCAGGACAGTCAAGGACTTTCCAGCTTCTCTGCTGTGCCCGTGTCTGCAGGGGCAGGAGAAGCTGGGAGGGAGCACAGACCCAATTACAAGCCCAGGACTTGATCTTAGGTTTAGGATTGAGATCCAAGTTGGTCAATGCTCTGTTCCATACCATGCACATCATGCCCAGTGTATAGGTGAGGATCTCTCCAGAAGTTCTCTCTCTTTCCAAATTGGCTCTCTCTGGGTGGTCCCTCTTCCAGGGTTGTCTCCCTCCCTTGGTCAGCTCTTGGACACTCAGGCTCTTACCTCCATTCTGGGATTGTTGTTTTGGAACTCTCCCTGCTCTGGGATCATTAGCTGGGAACGGGCTGAGCCTTGGTCATAGGGTGGTGAGCAGCTGCACTGTGTATCATACATTTGTATGTTTGTATATATGACTATTATTATCACAAAATCACTGAATCATAGAATGGCTTGGGTTGGAAGGGACCTTAAAGATTGTCCAGGGACACCTTCCTCTAACCCAGGTTGCCCAAAGCCTCATCCAGCCTGGCCTTGAACCCCTCCAGGAGTGGGGCATCCACAGCTTCTCTGGGCAACCTGGGCCACTGCCTCACCACCCTCACAGTGAAGAATTTCCTCCTAATATCTAATGTAAATCTACCCTCTTTCAGCTTGAAACCGTTATCCCTCAGTGACATGCTCCCTGCCAGAGGCTTGGCTGCGGTGCTTTCCCCGCGGCTTAAAGCCCCTGTCCTCATCTCGGGTCATTCAGTGTTTGCTGTTGCAGGAGGAAGCCAGGCAAATCCCCCAATCCCTTCTTTCACCTGTGTCAGGACCATTTCAGTCCCCTTTATATCCCCCTTCCTCCCACCACTTCTTCACTCCTGATGTGGGCAAACAAAGCCGTCCAGCCCATCCTAAGCCACGAAACGTTCTCCATTGAAATCCCTCTTGCTTGGTTTTCGTACCCCACCACTCAGCCAGCTCCTAATGAAGCTGCGCTGTATTGTTGCCTCTCTGATTTCCTGTTGTCAGTTGGGCTGATTTTAATTAGTTTGCATTTTCAGTTGTTTTTCAGCTCATCGGGAGGGATAATTAAAACAAAATCTTGCCCTCCATGCTCCTCTCCATCCGTTGTAGCAATACGAGCTGGGCACGTTAATCTGAAGGATGCTGAAGGCAGGGCTTACCTCCTGTGAAATGTTTGGAGGCTGGTTGTTAAGCATTACATTATTCTAAACACATTAAATTGTCCTGAATGAGGAGGAAATGAGGCTGTCTCGATCATCAACCTGATGGACATTAACAGTCTCCTACCCCAAGTTTGTTAAATTTGAACTAGATTTAGCTGCTGCCTGCCTCATTCCCATTCTGCAGGGGAGGCTGTGGACAGGAAGCTGGCGAGGAGGAGGAGGAATAAATTCGAGATACCCACAGCTTGGACCAAAAGCCTTACATAAATCCTTTGGATTTCCAGACTTCAGAGAAAAAGAGTTGGCATTACTGCCTTCTGTCAACCAAGCAGGAAAGTTTAACCAAGAGTCCAAGATATGAATGCTTAAGAGTCTGGAGGTGGCTGATCTGAGGGTGGTTTAAACGTTACTGGCGAGGAAGAGGGAGAAGGGGAAGTAACACATTTCTCAGCATTTCCAGGTTTACAAAACCTGTACGCTGAGCTAGAGGCTGTTAGGATTGGCTCTGTCTCAAAATGAGGAAAACAGGGAAAAATATATATAAGTGACACGCAAGCAGTTAACCAGCAATTTCTTCAGCTTATTGCTGATATTTGTGTTTACTGTCTTTTAGGAAAATGTGAAACTGAGTTTTGAAAGTTTGACTATTGATTATTAAATGATTTTGTAATTACTATTTATGTCTCTCATATGAGCATCACTATTAGAAGCCACTAGAGCTGGCCTGGTCTCCTGTATCACAGACCTGCCATCGCCTCTGTGAAAAGCAGATTCCTGCCTTGCTGGCAACATGTAATAAGCAAATGTCTGTGTTTCCTAGCTGCAAATTAGCACAAAAACCAATACTGAGGATTTGTGTGAAGGGCTGAGGCTTCTTTTGCATCTATTGGCCGTGATGGATGAGCTAGGATTTAACATCCTCCCTCTGGTTCAGTGCAGAGCAGCGTGCAGGCGGATGAACCCCCGGCAGAGCGGGATCCAAGGCGCTGGGACGGGCACACACTGTTTCTCATTCTGCCTGCCGGGCTGCCAGTTCCAGGGCAATTAGTAGAATAAATGTCTGAGATATGTTTCCCCATCCCCAACCATTCGATGGGTTGGTCATTGTTCAGGGGGCAATATGTCTCTCTCTGAGCTACCTTGACTTTTTTATTTGTTGGCCTTAATCAGTTATAGGGTGTTAATTATACCTCTTAATTAGCCCAAGGAGCTCAGTCTTGTGCCCTTGCCAACGTGGCTCTTCATTTCCCTCCTTTCCTCTCTCCCAGAGGTCAAAAATAGCCGTCTACGAGAAAATGTGGTCTTACATGAAGTCGGCCGAACCATCGGTGTTCACCAAAACGACGGCGGACGGGGTGGCGAGGGTGCGGAAGTCGAAGGGGAAGTTTGCCTTCCTGCTGGAATCGACGATGAACGAGTACATCGAGCAGCGCAAGCCTTGCGACACCATGAAAGTCGGCGGCAACCTGGATTCCAAGGGCTATGGTGTAGCAACCCCCAAAGGCTCAGCATTAAGGTGGGTGGAATAATATAACAATATCCATGTTGTTATAGTATTCCACCTACCCTGATGTATTGTGTTGTCATTTTCTTTCTTGTGGATTTTGAGGTAACTTTAAAGTTTAAAATCTTCGATATTCCATGGAGTTAAATAAGACGGTAAATTATGGTTTCGTTTATTTAATGCATCCATTTTTTTTAGTGTTCTCTTCGTGTTGTCCTTTCTGATTGTTTGTTGCTGTTTTAATTTTACAGTTCAATGGCTTTTTCAATTTAAATGGTAAAAGCCGAGTTAACCTGCCATACGTGACGAATGTTAACTGCATGATGTGGTGTTCTTGTTACTTTCTTTCTCAAAGACGATTTCCCCATCCCGCACACTTCAGTTTTGAGCAAATGTTATCCTCCATGCCACCTTCCAATATTTAACCCTGTATTTGCTGTACAGACATTTTGATAGCTCCACGTTCTGTGAAATTTTAGCCAATTTGTCCTCTTGTGCTCCTTTTTTTATACGTTACGATTTCCTAAGCATTTGTGCATTTTTTCTTACAAGTTATGTTTTATCGTTTCAAGAAATGCTGTTAACCTGGCAGTATTAAAACTGAATGAGCAAGGCCTCTTGGACAAATTGAAAAACAAATGGTGGTACGACAAAGGAGAGTGCGGCAGCGGGGGAGGTGACTCCAAGGTCAGCCTCAATGTCACCACAATCGGGTACCTTAGCAAAGAGTAATCGGCAAGGCTGTTATTTTACTTCTCAAGGAAAAAAAAAAAAAAAAAAAAAAGCAGATGAAAACCATTTGAATAATTGTGGTGGGGGAAAAAAAAAAAAAAGCCATTTGCTTGCCCAGTAGCTCTTTCAAAGAAACGGTCTTAATTTAATATTGTCAACAGGCTTGGTCAAGCTTGGAAACCTTATTTGACTAACAGATAGAAAGTCCGGTATCGGTGGGACCTGTGCAGAGCACATCAGTGCTTGTAACTGTACAAGGAAAGAGCGATCGCATCTGGCCGCCGTACTGACCCCTGGGGACAGGGCTTCGGTCTTTCTCTGTGATTGATCTGTGACGGTTTTTGAGAGGCTTTTTTTCACCAGCGCAGACCTGGAGGCGAGAGGGCTCACTTCTCCTTTGCTCTTTTGGGGAAGGGTCAAGCAAACCAGTACCAGCACGCGCTGCTTTGCTGGCTGAACTGGTGGCACGAGTTCAGAAGCCTGGTCTGCGGACAAGAGCGGGTCTATAGCTCAGGGAGAGAAAGGGTGGCTGCTCATCTCATCGCAGCGTGGGGTCAAGAGGTAACAGTTAAGCAACGGTCATAGCAAAGGCATAATGTTGAGCAGAGACGGTAGTCACCCGTTAATGGTAAAATAATAGCAGTAACGGTAACGTGTAAGGAGCTAGCTGTCGCTGCCTTCTGTGGAGCTGAGGCTGCCCCCAGTCTTTCAGAGAGCCTGTACGGTAGCCAGACTTTCAAAGTTGGTTTAATGAGCTCGTGGATTGCAAAAGTTAGCTAGTGTGCTTTGATATTGCCAACCTCACCCTGTGAAACTGTGAATTTATGCAGTCTTCACCCTGGTGAGGAGAAGCTGTAGCTAGAGCAGGCTGGGTACTGTTGGTCACCTTGGGTACAGGAACTACCAAGAAAATGAATTTAAAATACATTGTTATACTGAAAAGTACTGAGATTAATTTTTATAGTGACACTCTCCTACAGCTAGTAGAACCAGTTCCTTAAGGAACAGTAACTCGTAATCTCTCTTACAAAAAATGCTTCAGCTTTGGTCCAAAATCAATAATAACAGTATTTTCAGTAAACTGCAGTTTTGGACAATTACTGCAAATTACTGCTGTGTTCTGTTAATAGGAGTTGCCTACAACTGGCTACGTAGGAAGTTACTCTGCTGTTCATCTCTAATGTTGGCAGAACCACTGTGTAGTAATACAGGAAGGAAAGGCTCTCAAATTCAGGTTTGTTCAATAACAGGAGGTCTGCAGTGCTCAGCAGCAGCCTCGAGGCGAGCTTGAGCTTTTTTATGCTTTTTAGCTCTGCCGCTCATCCTTCACACAGCATTTTTATATAATGTTATACTTGCCCGGTATATTAAATGTTTAATATTCTCCTGGGATCCAGCACCACATTGTCTAATGGTGCCTCCGTGAAAGAAAACTCTTCATACAAACCAGCTTCAATGAACTCCATTGCTTCAAGTTCATTGAATTAAACCCAGCCAACTAATGCTTACAGCCCGAAGGAAGCTGAAAAGGATTTTTAAAATGTTCATAATTAGGGCAGGGCCATCCTTCTATTTTTGCTCATGTTGAAAGACCTTTTAGAAAGAGTGATACCAGCCATGAGCAAGGCCATGGCCCTGGTCAGTGAATGTTAAGGGAGTGGAGTGAGATGCGCTGTGATGCTTTGTCGGTATCCAACGAAGAGGGAACGGCGACGTGTGTTTTGCTGGTTTAATCCGTAAATCACAAAGCACTGTTGTTCTGCAGTTTGTCATAACCCGCTGTGATGAAGGACTACTTGTTTGTTTGAGCTACAGCCGTCAGCTCTTGGGGCACAGCTCTGCCAGCAGAAATCCCCAGGGAGGAGAACGTGGGTCGGAGAGGACCTCCTGCAGAAGACTAAGCTAGGGGAGGCAGTGAAGGGCTTAGCTGTTGTTTCTAGAGATGTTATAAATCAAAGGGCTTTTTGTTGTTGTTCCAAAGTGGATTTTCTTTTGAGGTAGCACTTTGTAGGCACTCAGTGCTGCAGGCTGCGATGCCACGGCGTTGCAGCAAGCAGGCAGGTGCCTTCCTGACAGCGCACACCCCCATTGCCGACCACTAAGAACAACGTCCCCAGCCCCGCTGGAGCCCTGCTGACCCCCAGGTGCTACGGCCCCAGGCACTCTCACTGGCCTCTCTCTCCTCTTCTCCATCCTCCCACCAAAAGCCTGAGTTGCCCTCGTCATCTCATCCCATTTTTGGTTAATTATTTGTATGAACAAGGCTTCATTTATAGAGCATTTCAGAGGAGTTGCTTCACAACTGTGGTTTTTTTTCCCTTAAAGGAGGGGGTAGATGGGGGGGAATCAAAGAGGATGGGGGGGTGAAGATGCCCTGGGTGGAGGCACAGACCTTGCGCCCCGTCACGCAGGGCAGCATGGGGACCGTTGCGAACTCGGGGCAGCTCTCTCTACCGGCTAAGCTGACAGAGCACCTCTCTTAGCTTCACCAGTAGAGACCCAGGCTTGGGAAATCGCTGCCCTGAGTTCATAACCACCCGTTCCTCCCTGCCACCACCGAGCTGTGTGTAGCCATGGGTCATTGCAGACTGATGGTGCCAGTTTCTTAAGCTGAATTCCTCGTGCAACCTGATATTCTATCTTGTGCTGAAAGCCAGAGGTAAGTATACAGCCTGCTTGCTTGTGCCGGTGCCCGTCGCTGTACCGCAAAGGTCCCAGTCTCCCAGAAAACGCCCTCCCGTGCTCGCCCTCCCTGCGGGTTAGCATGCTGTGCGCCTGTGCTTGGAGAGGAGTGATCCTGAGTTGTGAGTTCACCTCGTGTTGTTGTATCTTACATTGCCACTGGAAAACTAAACAGTGACTTCACCTTTCACAAGGATTTTGAGTCTTGCAGCAGGAAAAAGAAATGGACTTGCTGAGAGATTTTTTGATCTGTTTGGTTATACAGACTGTCGGGCTAGTCCTGTGAGCATCGTGCACTCCTGGGGTCCACTTGTCGTTTCATAGAATCACAGAATGGTTTGGGTTTGAAGGGACCTTAAAGATCATCGAGTTCCCCCCCCCTGCCATGGGCAGGGACACCTCCCACTAGCCCAGGTTGCTCAAAGCCTCATCCAGCCTGGCCTTGAACCCCTCCAGGGATGGGGCATCCACAGCTTCTCTGGGCAACCTGGGCCACTGCCTCACCCCCTGCACAGGAAAACATTTCTTCCTAATATCTAATCTGAATCTCCCCTCTTTCAGCTTGAAACCGTTACCCCTCATCCTATCACTCCACTCCCTGATCAAGAGTCCCTCCCCATCTCTCCTGTAGCCCCCTTTAAGACTAAAGAGATTGTGCTGTTTCCACGAGATTGTGTTAAAGGCCTTGGCTGACAAATGTCTCATTTCCAGTGTTACCAGTGTATGCCAGCGCTGGTGTGGAGCAGAGGGTGCCAGTCTGCCCTGCGGCGTCTTGGCTGTCGGTACTGCTCTGGCAAAGGGAGTTCCCCCATTTCGGTAGCAGTCCTTATTTAAGAAGTCTGAAGGGGAACATGCTCCATCCACACATAATTTGTCTGTGATGCATGTCAATACTTGTGGGCTGACTTGGCTGGTGCAGACGTTCTGGTACGTGCATCAAAATTTGTTCAGTTAGCTCCCCTAAATGAGCGTGAATTTAGTTTTTATCTGTTGGATTCATGGCAAAATTATACTGTCTTCAAATTCTCTTGTACATATGAGTTGAGTTCTCAAATCGTGAGAGAATGCAAAATAGCAGTTATAAAAAAACCATATTCCAGGAAATATGTTACAGTGTATTACAAGTTTGGAAACTAATTATTTTGTTTATTATACAATCCTATCATCTCAGAGCTGAGTGATGGCTGAATAGGAATTTAACAAGAAATAGACAAAAGGGGATGCAGACGGCGGTAGCACACTGAGTGACTTAAGTGAAACTAATTATTCAGTTGCATAGGAACAATTTTCTGCTAAGATAAATTTCTATAGTTCTGCTGTTGATACATTTCTTCTATTCTTTTACCTTCCTGGTAACATTTAACGACAACCAACACAGAAGGAGATTGTTTGACTGCAGCATCTCGCCAACTTGACATGCCAAGATTCCTTGCTAATTATTTGACTTAATTTCTTTAATATATTCTTTTTTTAGGCTGATATCTCTTTTGGAGTACCTCTGTGAAATGACGTGTGATGCAATACTACTTCACTTTCCAGTTGCTTCTTTTTAATCATAGGATTACTTTTCCAGCATGCTAGTTGAGTTCTGCCTCCAG